GAGCTTTAACTTAACATCACCCTTGGTATTGTCCCCCAGCAGGAGAATCAAACGGTCCCTCGCTTCTTTAAAACCTGATATAGTCTTCTCTTTTTTGGAATGTAGCTGCACGAAGGCATCTTCCTCCAAAAAGAGGCCCATTTCATCGATGTTGAAGGCCTGCTGTGGCGTGAAGCCTTCCTCCTCAATCATCTCCTTCAGAAGAACAGGAAAATCTTGGACGATATGCACGTCGACACTAGAGCCTCACCTGACATTTTTATGCTGTGAAAACTGACTCGTTTACAAAAGCAGTCGAACCATCTACGGCTTACAGAAAATTCCATTGTGCCATTTCCTTCACTTTCATCTTTAATATCATGCCGCAGCAAACGGGTTTTCTTTTGGATAATTGCTGGGTCTGGTCGTCAATCTACACATGCAGTAACCTCTCCATCCTCTCTATGGTAGACTTATGAAACCTTGTGATTATCACTGTTGTTACAAGCATGCCAGCCATTTCCTTAATTTACACAGCACTTTTCACAGTGGAGTGCATGGTTGAAGGGGCTAAGCCATGCACATGTCCAATTAGACTCGTGCCCTCGCCTTTCTTATGCCGCTTTTGATGTCCAAGTTAACATCCAAGGTCACAGACAGACGAGGCCTATTTGCAGATGAGGCAGTAGAAGAGGAATAAGGGCACTTGAGAGACAGTACACTATCACACATATGTTCAATAGCCTGGTATATGAATACACAACAAAATGTCATGGAACATAGTGCTTGCAGAGCATGACTCACACTACTTAGGCCTATTCCACACTAACATTTTTGTTCTGCGAGTGTGTTTTTTCAAGCTGCGATTTGGAAGTACAGGTACAGGTGTGGGGTGAGCACCTCCCATGTGTGATTTTTCATGCATCTGCTCCATGTGAACAGTTCCATTAAATGTCATTAATTTCTAAGCAGAACACCCGTGTGAAGCGGGCCTTACGTCGGAATATGTGAGCTGCGGCTAGCCCGCCCGGTAGGTTTGAAATATTACTGTAGTGTATTGTAATTTTTCATTTGTGAATAAGTGGGGTATGTTATGTGAATATTGAATAGGGGTGTTGAAATATCAGTTGTGGATAAGCAGAGTTGTGAATAGCAAGGTATTCCTGTATGCCATCTGTATATGTATTTCTCGTACAGCTCTTAACAACATGACCCAATGATGAAGTTTGTTGATGGCCGCTATATTTCTAAACATAAGCCCACGTAAATAGAGAGGTAGCATACTTAGTCTGCTTACTATTGTGAGGTTCCTTAGGGCCATTCCGAGAGTTTTACTGTAATATAAACAACCACAGATGCCACATCTCATAAAATGTGCCAACCACTGTTACAGGTGGAACTGTGGGCGACTGTACCCCAATTTTTACACCATTTTTAATTTGCATGGGCTTATGTTTAGAAATAACACGGCCATCGACATACATCATCATTGGGTCACGTTGCTAGAGCTGTATGAAAAGTGCATGTATAGATGGCTTAGATATGCAGGTTCCCACCTTGCAGTCCTCAGTGCGTGGATACAGTCTATTGTCACAGTGCTACAGTATTTTGTACTGCAGTATACTGTATATTGAACATGTTCTGCCCCATGCATCATGGCACCAAAGCATGGTTTAAGTTCACCATTAAGGTTAAGATGGATGTGCTCAAACGTTATGAAAAAAATGAACGAACAGCTGAAATTAAGCATACACTTGGACTTGGTGAATCTCTTTACGGACTATTCGTGATAGTGCAGAGAAGATCAAGGAGAGTGCCAAGAGTGCAACATTAATCAGTGCATCTAAGACCTTGTATTTCTGAAGTTTAGTTATGGAGAGAATGGAACAAATGTTGAGTACAAGGATCAAACCCTAAACACAAGAAAATATTCCCGTCAGTTTGCTTGTGATACGAGCAAAGGTCCGGAGTATTTTATATTTCCTGGTATGTGTAGACTGTAGTTCTTAACTGGTATAATATAGGGTACTGTCTTATTAGTAACAAACCCATAATCTCCACTATGTACATTATCAAGAACGTAATTATCGCATAAATCGAGAGATTCCTGTATACAGTGGTCCCTCGGTTAAGGAGCACAATCCGTTCCAGCAGGTTGCTCGTTAACCGAAAAACTCGTTAACCGAAAAACTCGTTAACCTAAACCATTGTTTCAATGGATTTTTGGGTAATTGGTTCCAGCTCACCAAAAATTGCCTAAATTCAACAAAAATTTTAGAAATTGACACTTACCTTGAGGTGTGTGTGTAGAAGGCTCCTGGATGATGATGCTGATGTGAATTTGAAGTGGGAGGTGGAGGAGGAGAAGGGAGAAGAGAAGGAAGTGGAGGTGGAGGAGAAGCATTTTACTGCTTCTTGGAAGGTGAGTCACCTTCCATGAAAATGTCAGGAACCTCTGGACTGACAGATTCTCCACCATGAACATCCTCTCTCCTTCTTGAAGTGGAAGGCTGAGGGCCAGCATCATCCTCTCTCCTTCTTGAAGTGGAAGGCAGAGGGATAGCATCTTGTTCCCTCTGCCTTTTACTGAAGAAAGTGTCAATTGTGGTCTGTGGGGCATCTCTCCTCCTCACCATTAACTTATGTTTAAAGAAGGAGACCATTGAGTCCTCAACATGACACAAAGCTAGTTCAGTTTTTTCCACATCTGGGTGCTTTGAAGCCAGTTCCCTGAACTTCTCCCAGTGATAAATCATATCTTTTAACTCTTTAGTTGACATATGGTCAACACTTTCAATTTCCTCCTCACCACTGTCAGCCTCTAACATCTCATCCAGTTGCTTCAAGTCATCAGGAGTAAGTTCCTCCTCATGAGACATCACAAGCTCTTCGACATCATCCTCTTCCACTTCAAGGCCCAATGACTGACCAATGCACACAATCTCCTGGTGCAACTCTGTTTCTTCCTCAAATCCCTCAAAATCATGGACTACTGATGGCTACAGTGCTTTCCATGAAGAATTTAGGGATCTAGTGGAGACTTCTTGCCATGATGACACAATCAATTTTACAGTTTCCGGGATGTTGAATTGTGTCTTCCAGAACTGTTTCAGTGTTAGTTCGGGATCATTGGAAGTTGCCTGATGACACCTCCTAAACATTTTCTTCATGTACAACTTCTTGAAGTTGCTGATCACATTGTGGTCCATTGGCTGTATGATTGATGTAGTGTTGGGAGGCAAAAACAACACTTTCACAAATTCAAATTGATACTCCAAATTTCTGGCAAGTTCTGGGTCATGACCAGGAGCATTATCCATGAGGAGAAGAGCCTTTAAAGGGAGTTTATTGGTGGTTAGGTAGCTCTTGACAGAAGGGCAAAACACATCAACAGCCCATTCATTAAAGAGCTGTCTTGTCACCCATGCCTTATGGTTGGACTTCCAATAAACTCCAAGCTTTGTTCTTATCACTTTCTGTTGCTTGAACACCCTGGGGTTTTCAGAGTGGTAGACAAGCATAGGCTTCAGTCGGAAATCCCCTAAAACACTGGCACCAAGCAATAGAGTGAGACGGTCTTTCATGGGTTTATGCCCAGGCAAAGAGGCTTCATTTCTGGTGATAAATGTTCTTTTGGGCATCTTTTTCCAGAACAGCCCAGTTTCGTCCACATTGAACACTTGCTATGGAAGATAATTTTCTTCCATTAGTTCTTTAAATTCCACTAAAAACTTAGCTGCCCCTTCCTTATCAGCACTAGCAGCCTCACCATGCCTAACAACACTGAAAATGTCACTTCTTTTCTTAAATTTTTCAAACCAGCCTTTGCTGGCCCAAAAATCTTCAAATTCTGTGCCTGAAGAACCAGGTTGATCTGTCTTTAAATGTTCGTATATCTCCCTGGCTCTTTCACAAATGAATTCAGTAGAAACTGAATCACCTTTCATCTGTTTTTCCCTAATCCAGATGAGAAGTAACCTCTCAGTTTCTGCAATTAAGGATCTACTTTTAAACACTGGTAGATTTGTCTCTCACTTTCACTTCTTTAAATTTGTCTTTCTGTGCAAGAATTGTCGACACAGTTGATGTCGACATGCCATATTCTTTGCATAGCGCATTTGTTCTAATGCCTTGTTCATGTTTTTTTTATAATTTCCTGCTTGGTTTGGATTAAAATTGCTTTTCTTGATCTCTTAGGCCCCATGCTGGATTCAAGCAATGTCAACACGTGTTTTTTAAAGTTAAACTAGCTGTAAATAAAGAATATTTTCTTTAAAATAACACTGCACTGCGCGACATATTGTCAATATGTAAAATAAATTTCAAAATGACCAATAACTTGCTTGGAAACACACAAAAAAAGCGTTTAGTTGAGGAGAGTCTCAAGCAAGATGTTACCTCCACTGAAAACAGAGAGAGAGACTAACGCTTGTTTGCTGTGTTAAGAGGCTGGATGGCGCGCATAAAACTAGTCACTTTACCTTCAATTATGTTCAATAATTGTTAAAATGACTAAAAAATTTAATATTAAACTTTTAAAATTATTGAATAGTATAAACTTCTTGATATTTACTAAAATAGTAAGGAATTTAAGCCCTAGAACCGATTACTGTATTGGCGGACTAATACTACAGCTGATTGACCGCCCAGTGCAAGCGAAAATTTGTTGAGGTCGGCTCGTAAGTAACTCGTTAACCGAGGGATTGCTCGTTAACTGAAGTTAAGAATCTTATGGGAGGTAACTCATTAACCGAAATCTCGTTAACCGAGGCGCTCGTTAACCGAGGGATCACTGTAAATGTATGACTTGCCATGAAGCACTTAATGATGCAGATATGACTTGTATTAATGCATCATGTGCATAAATTCCTACAACTTCAGTTAATTCAGGATGGAATCCTGAAAAAAGGGTAAATTCATAAGAATTAAAGTTTTCTCTGTGTGTGTTAGAAAGACATTTCTCCGTGAAAGATTTTCTTAATTATATTTTTAATTCTAAATAATTCCTTTTGTCTTTACAGTGTTTGGACATGAAACTGGTGACTGCAGTGATGAAACCTTCTAATGAGGCTGTGAATATATAAGACTAAGATGTTATGGATGTTCACAAATAAACATTATATTTTTAACAAGAACTAATCAAAAAGTTTCAAATCGAATCGTCCACATTATATATATATATATATATATATATATATATATATATATATATATATATATATATATATATATATATATATATATATATATATATATATATATATATATATATATATATATATATATATATATATATATATATATATATATAAAGAAAATATTGACAAAATTCGAGAAATTCTAAAGGTGACAAAAAAAGTTACCGTATATACCCGTGTATAGCACGAGTTCTTAAGACCAAATTTTTGGGCAAAAAGTTGGGGGTCGACCTCTATACGGGTAATAGTTTCGTTAGGTTGAAAAATATTTACCAGTAACTACCAGTAAACAATGGAAACGACGCACCAACGCACCGCCCGCTGTGAGTGTCGGTACAGTTGCCAGGGCAGATCTCTTGCGTCATCATAGCAAGCCCAAAGTAGCCAAATGCATGGTATGGTATGCACAGGATTATGTAAAACATAAAGTATTCATTTTTAAAAGTTTATTTATAGATACATAAATTTTTGTTAATTAAATTTGAAACATCAATATGATGTGAGTCAGGTCATCTACACGCAGTTGCCAGTTTCAAAATTTTCCTTTTAAAATTTTAAGTTACCGAGTATTTCTTTTCCCAAATCGTTTTACAATACTGTAGGTAAAACAGTATACTATTGTGCAAACCCCACAGAAAAAAATTAACAAATGGAGACACCAAAAATGTAAAAAAAAAAAATGCTGTCTGACTTGCAACACTGTTGGTAGGGTCAGGTGGTTCTAACGGTACCTGCCAGGACCCGGTAATCAAATTTATAACAATATCTAACCTCAATTACTGTAGTTTATCTGATGTAGGCAATATGAAGTAAAAAATACCAGTTAAAGTGAGAAATCGGAAGAGAATAAACAAGAAAGATGTTGGGCTATTTTTGGTAGGGCTGAGGGAGAGAGTACCAGCTGTTTGGTCTTTTTTGGCGGGAGAGTCACGCAAATATCCGTACTAGTATTTGTTTGGTGTCTTCTGAATATTGTTTAAAAGTAAAATTGTATTATATAAAAACTTGTCATATTTCTGGAAAATAAGAAGCAAGAAAATAAGAATACACCGGTAAACACAATTTCAACGTACGCTAAAATTAAAAGCTGCTTAAGAAGGGCCGATGCAAACAAAGCCTCCACGACCAGGGCTCTGCCGTATCAGCTAGACGGTACACGTGTTTTTCGAATCGTTTTCAGTTAAAAAACTTTTACATCACAAGTGAATTAGGATAGAATATTATTGTAATATAACAGTTTTTAACTGAAAACCATTCAAAAGGCGATTACGGTAACATCTTGTGAACGAAAGAAAGCGAGTCATTGTTTTTGTCACGATTTTATCCCACTTTCCACTATAATACGTACGTCATTTCAGCAAAAATATTACATTTCCATATTCTCAGAAATAAATAGTAGTTTTGCTGAAACGTGATGTATTTCAATGTAAATTTGGATAGACTACATGCAGAAAACAAAAGACTTTACCTAACCTTCCGATGTTCAAGATATGTTACTCGTATTTTTAATAGTTTTCGGTTAAAATACTGTTATATTAGTGATATTCTATTCATACTGTGGTTGATATAATACCTTCACGGAAATGTAATATTTTTTGCTGAAATGACATACGTATTACAGTGGAAAGTGGGATAAAATTGTGATGAAAACAATGACTTTCGCTTTGTTTCGTTCAAAAGATGTTACCGTAATCACTTTTCGAATGGTTTAGTTAAAAAACTGTTGTATTGTATTACAATAATATCCTAATTGACTTGAATAAATATTACGATACCATATTTCTGAATATTTTCATTAAAATCCATCAAAATCATTTTCCTTGTCATCGTCTGCAGCACCAAACAGCTTCTCCCAGTCCTCTCCTTGAACAGGGCTAGAGGGTACACGTGTTTTTCGAATCGTTTTCAGTTAAAAAACTATTACATCACACGTATATTTTACCTAAACTGTGCCTGAATGAATATATTCTCGGAAATAAATAGTAGTTTTGCTGAAACGTGATGTATTTCAATGTAAAATAGGATAAAATACATGACGAAAACAAAAGACTTTACCTAAGTTTCTGTTCTTGAGATGTTACTCGTTTTTTTAATAGTTTTCGGTTAAAATTCTGTTATATTACAATGATATTCTATTCATACTGTGCTTGATATAATACATTCACGGAAATGTAATATTTTTGCTGAAATTACGTACGTATTAAAGTGGAAAGTGGGATAAAATCGTGACAAAAACAATGACTTTCGCTTTCTTTCGTTCAAAAGTTGTTACCGTAATCGCTTTTCGAATGGTTTAGTTAAAAACTGTTGTATTACAATAATATTCCCTCCTAACTGACTTGAATAAATACTTGAATGGAAATATACAATATTTTTGTTGAAACTACCTGCGTTTCAGTGTAAAGTGTCGTAATAATAAATGGTAAACAATTTGCCTTCGACACTCGTGTTTCATGCACGGCGAGCCTCAGTTTATAGGACGTAGAGCGTTTTTAGTGAAGGTTTTGTTGTTCCATTACCCTCAAAAACGTGGGTCGAACTATAACCGAGGAATATCGTAAATTAACGATTTCTTGGTCAAAAAATCAGGATCGACCTATAAACAAGGGGGGTTATATATATATATATATATATATATATATATATATATATATATATATATATATATATAATGACTTGTAAAAGTAAGCAGTAGTCATTTGAATGTTCTTGAATGTAACATAATAAAATGTTTGCAAAAACTTACACAATTTATAAAGCAATAATTTCATGCCTTAGGATATATAATAGAACTAGGAGCTTCCTTCCATAATACAGTATAATAAAGCACCCAGGGATAGACCTCCTCCATTCATGCTTCCTTGTACTGTAGTTCTAGCAGCAATTATCCTTTACTGAAACAGAGGTTTTTAATATACTCCCAAAATTAGTCATAGAATTTCACTCAAGCCATCCTCATCTTATGTGTTTGATGTAGTAAACTATTTCATGCTGTTTTGTTCTGTATCTCACAGTTATCGGTCCACATTCCTGGATCTTTTTATGCTGCTTTTAACTTTCATGATCTTCTCATTTTGGTAAGTCCTCCAACTTTCTTATTCTCTCCGTTCACTTTCCTGATCTCAAAATTTTTGACTGAATGACAAAAAAAAAAAAATTATGCTCCTTATCTGCAATATTGTTTATACATATTATGTTACATACTAAACTCTTTCAGTCAGAGACATTAGAATTCCTAAGAACCCTATCCATTTACCGACTCAAAATTTTTCTGTTCACATTAGTCTTCAGTGCTCCAACAGCTTTCTCATATTTGAACACAAATATTGGCACAGTAAACCTTTGATATATCACAGGACTGGGATTGAGAATTACCGTGAAATAGCAAATTGTTTTATATTTCGTCTATGTACTTCAGTAGAAAATATAAGGAATGGGACTGGAGCTCGAAAAAGTACACTAAAAGATTCCTTAAAGACATTTATTTCATCCATCTGGACCTACCACCAGACCACCTTGGCACCAGGCCAACTCACCACACCACCCCCTGCTAGCAGAAGATGCTGTTCATACCCCCGAGAGCCCTGCTTTCCTGGGACTTGAAATGAACGTTTAAATAAAGTTTAATAGTTTTCAAAGAAACTTTGAAATCATGTTCGATGAAAATTTTTGAAAATATTTAATTCTTCTCTTTGAAATGAAAAAAACACTGTATTTAATTGTCTTCATACGCAATTGTATATACAGTACTCTACCAATTTTAGTCATTGTACTCAATAATATAGTACTGTATTTCCTTTAATTTCATTAATATTTAATTTAAAAACACTATTTAAATTCAACTGGAGAATTGGGCATAAAGAATAAGGTGATCATATTATCTAGGAATCATCTGTAGGTGCAAGAGTGGCTGGCCCCAGCTAAGATGCCCATATTGTCAGCTGATGAATGTGGTGGTCCATTAAAAATTTTAAAGGAGTTTTACAGCACAGTGAAGGAAAATTAAGTAATTTAGGTTTCTTCAAAATAAAGAAAGTGAAGTATTGGACCTTGAAATAAAAAGGGTCAACTGTATTTTCTTGACTTTGTAGAATATCTGATATATTGTGGGTCTTGGACTTGTAAGAGACAAGCACTTAACTCTAAAAACATTGTTTACATTTACTGTACTCTCCACCTCCTCATGTGACTTATCCTGTATGACTTGATAGCGTCTCATTCTTTCCTCATTTAACATGCATAAATTAACATCGTTGACCTATGGTTTTCTCATAAATTTTTGTTGTGCTCACACAGTGGAAGCTACATGTAAATATCACTCCACCAGTTCAAATTTTTGGCAAGTTTGACTCATACATTTAGTTTAAAATACTGTAATGAGGTTTTATATTATAATGTTGGAAGTTTACAAGTACCCTGTAGTGCCAAAAATGATTCAACCCCTGACCCCACCCCAGTGAAAAATTTATCTCCTTGAAGTTCATTTCAAATTAAAATCAGGAGCTAGGGATACTGTGGGCATGCAATCTGAAAAAACTTTCTAAACAAAAAAAAAAGGGGTAATTTTTACCATTATCATCTCACTTGTCCAAGTACAGTAAAAGTCCAAAAATTCGGATGCCAGAAATCTGGACCACCTGAGAATCTGGACTTTTTGAAAAATCAAACTTTTTTTTTTTTAGTTGGCTTTTGTGCATATGTGCGCATGCGTGAGCGCCACAGCTGCACAGCGAAAACAAGCGACCACACGGTCACCATTTTAAAATGAGCAATCAAACTGTGACAACGTATGTAATTTTGAGTCCTATTCTTTCCATTTGCAGAGTACTGTACTGTACTGTACAAGCCCATAATAATGGCTCCTAAAGTAGATAAACTTCGTTGTGTGAAGAGAAAGAAGAACATGTTGAAATTGAGTGACAAACCTGAAATAATTAAGAAACTAGAACGTGGTGTGAGCAATACTGTTCTAATGGAAACATACGACATTGGAA